GAAGTTGGCACCAGCACCAGCAGTATTAGGTCGGGCGTGTCCGCCTTACAGGCAGGAGTTGGATGAAGATTAGAAAATATTCAAAACATGCGCAACAGAAGTACTCCCAAAAACAAAACAATCAAACAAATCGTCCCCGTACTACTTCCCAACCATCCTGTGGTGTTGGGTCCTCGTTTTGAAGAGACGGTCCCCGCATTCCTCTGTTCCTCCTCGTCCCCCTCCTCCTCTCCACCGCCCGCATGCGTCCCCCACACCCAATTTGGCACACGCCTCACACGTTGCGTGGCCCCAAAGGGAGCTCCACCGAAGGCCCCAGTGGGACCGCCCGCATGCGTCCCCCCCACACCCAATTTGGCACACCCCTCACACGTTTCGTGGCCCCATACGGAGCTCCACCGACGGCCCCAGTGCCACCGCCCGCATGCGTCCCCCACACTCATTTCGGCACACCCCTCACACGATTCGTGGCTCCATAGGGAGCTCCACCCCACCGCCCGCATGCGTCCCCCACACCTGATTTGGCACATCCCTCACACGTTTCGTGGCCCCATAGGGAGCTCCACGAAAGCCTCCAATGAGACCGCCCGCATGCGCCCACCACGCTCAATTTGGCATTTTCGCCCATCCAGTACAGCGCTTCGTGGTTCCATAGGGAGCTCCACCGAAGCCCCCCGTGGGACCGCCCGCATGCGTCCCCCCAATACCCAATTTAGCATTTTCACCCACCCAGTACAGCGCTTCGTGGCCCCATAGGGAGCTCCACCGAAGGCCCCAGTGCCACCGCCCGCATGCGTCAGACCCAACTTGGCATTGTCACCCACCCAGTACAGCGCTTCGCGGCCCCATAGGGAGCCCCACCGAAGCCCCCAGTGGGACCGCCCGCATGCGCCCCCCACGCCCAATTTGGCGTTGTCACCCACCCAGTACGGCGCTGCGGCCCCATGGGGAGCTCCACCGAAGCCCCCAGTGGGACCGCCCACATGCGTCCACCATGCCCAATTTGGCATTTTCACCCATCCAGTACAGCGCTTCGTGGTTCCATACGGAGCTCCACCGAAGCCCCCCGTGGGACCACCCGCATGCGTCCCCCCAACACCAAATTTAGCATTTTCACCCACCCAGTACAGCGCTTCGTGGCCCCATAGGGAGCTCCACCGAAGGCCCCAGTGCCACCGCCCACATGCGTCCCCCAGACCCAATTTGGCATTTTCATCCACCCAATACAGCGCTTCGCGGCCCCATAGGGAGCCCCACCGAAGCCCCCCGTGGGACCGCCCGCATGCGTCCCCCCAACACCCAATTTAGCATGTTCACCCACCCAGTACAGCGCTTCGTGGCCCCACAGGGAGCTCCACCGAAGGCCCCAGTGCCACCGACCGCATGCGTCCCCCAAACCCAACTTGGTATTGTCACCCACCCAGTACAGCGCTTCGCGGCCCCATAGGGAGCCCCACCGAAGCCCCCAGCGGGACCGCCCGCATGCGTCCCCCACGCCCAATTTGGCGTTGTCACCCACCCAGTACGGCGCTGTGGCCCCATGGGGAGCTCCACCGAAGCCCCCAGTGGGACCGCCCACATGCGTCCACCATGCCCAATTTGGCATTTTCACCCGCCCAGTACAGCGCTTTGTGGCCCCATAGGGAGCTCCACCGAATCCCCCAGTGGACCGCCCGCATGCGTCCCCCAAAGTACCCCCAAAAACAAAACAATCAAACAAATCGTCCCCGTACTACTTCCCAACCATCCTGTGGTGTTGGGTCCTCGTTTTGAAGAGACGGTCCCCGCATTCCTCTTTTCCTCCTCGTCCCCCTCCTCCTCTCCACCGCCCGCATGCGTCCCCCACACCCAACTTGGCACACCCCTCACACGTTGCGTGACCCCATAGGGAGCTCCACCGAAGCCTCCAGTGGGACCGCCCGCATGCGTCCCTCACACCCAATTTGGCATTTTCACCGACACAGTACAGCGTTTCGTGGCCCCATAGGGAGCCCCACAGAAGCCCCCAGTGGGACCGCCCGCATGCGTCCCCCACGCCCAGTTTGGCATTGTCACCCGCCCAGTGCAGCGCTTCGTGGCCTCATTGGGAGCTTTACCGACGGACCCAGTGCTACCGCCCGCATGCGTTCCCCCCCCGCCCAGCGCAGCGCTTCGTGGCCCCATAGGGAACGCCACCGAAGAAGATAGTCACAATTGCGGCACCCACAACTTCATATGGTTGGGTCCTTCGCCAGGATTAGTGTTGAATCCGCCAGCCCCCTTGTGGAGCCACCAGGCTACGGGGCTAAGGTTCGCAGTTTCCTGTACCAGTTGCAGCTTCCAATTTCCACTGTTACAGTTCTGTTTCTTGCTGCTTACTGTTCCTTGTTGACTTCTTGCTGTTTACTGCTCCTTGTTGATGGACCGCGCGAGGGGGGGGGAGGCCCAAAACGAGCATTTTCACCGCGCCCAAAACGTGGCCTCTGAATTGCCGGGGTGGGTAAAAATTTACACCCCTCATGCAAATCGGCAGGGTCAGGGTCCAAGAAAAACATGTGATTTGCCATATTTCTGAAATTCGGTGGCACCCCTCACGCAGATCGGCAGGGTCAGGGTCCAAAAACACACTTGATGTGCCACATTTCTAACATTCGGTGGCACCCCTCACGCTGATCGGCGGGGTCAGGGTTCAAAAACACATGGGATTTGCCACATTTCTGAAATTCGGTAACACCCCTCACGCAAATCAACGGGGTCAGGGTCCAAGCACACATGTGATTTGCCACATTTCTGAAATTCGGTAACACCCCTCACACAGATCGGCGGGGTCAGGGTCCAAAAACACTTGGCAATTGCCACGTTGCTAAAATTCGGTGGCACCCCTCACGCAGATCGGCGAGGTCAGGGTCCCAAAACACATAGGATTTGCCACATTTCTGAAATCCGGTCGCACCCCTCACGCAGATCGGCGAGGTCAGGGTCCAAAAACACATAGGATTTGCTACATGTTTGAAATTCGGTAACACCCCTCACGCAAATCAGCGGGGTCAGGGTCCAAAAACATATTGGATTTGCTACATTTCTGACATTTGGTGGCACCCCTCACGCAGATCGGCTGGGTCTGGGTGCAAAAACAAATGGGATTTGCCACATTTCTGAAATTCGCTGGCACCCCTCACGCAGATCGGCGGGGTCAGGGTCCAAAAACAAAAGAGAGTTGCTACATTTCTGAAATTCAGTGGCACCCCTCACGCAGATCGGCGGGGTCAGAGTCCAAAAACATAGGGGATTTGCTGCATTTCTGAAATCCAGCGGCACCCCTCACGCAGATCGGCAGGGTCTGGACATCTTACCAATCGCCAGGTGTGGTAAGCTCTCTGGTCATCTACTGGTTTTGCTCATCACGAGTCGGCCTCGCACGAAGTTCCGATGCTGCTTCACGACAGCGCCCAGGCCTTATAACATAGCTCTTGCATAGCGGATTCTCCGAGAGAGGGGGCCGGCGGCAGGGGGCGAAGCCCTTACGGATATTCTATCTGCACAGGGACGTGCCCGACTTAAACCTGGAAGTTGGCGCCAACACCAATAGTAGAGGTCGCTCTCACCGAGGGAATGTGATTCCTGAATTGGGTGTTGGCGGAAACTCGCATGTCCCCATCCCTCCGGTGGAGGCGACCGTCGATATTGGTGTTGCTGCAAAAGTTTAGGCCTTCGACTCCTGACGCCGTCAAGACAGGAAGGAGCTACATCAGCACGATTTTCCAGAGGCCCGCGCGGATTTCTTGAATCGACTGGACCCCCTGGCGGCCCCGCGCCAGGGAGGAGGGGTCCAGCCCGGGGATGGGGGGTGTCCAGCGCCGACCCAAAAGATCCGTGCAGCCCTCCCGAAATTAATGTCCATTCAGAGCTTCTTCTTCAGTTCTCCAATTTCTCAATGTGCGTCCTGGGCATATGATCATTCGCATAAGTAGGTGTTGCCCTTCATATGTGTTTCTTCTTCTTCTGAGATGTATTATTGCAATGGTTCGTAGGAGAACTATTACTAGTGTAATGATGATGCGGCTGATGGTGATGCTGCTGGTACTTAGCACTGCCGTTCTTAAGCATTATATAATTGTTATTCTGAGTATCACTGATATGATTGATAGTATGTATTAGTAGTCGTCGTAGTAATAATAGTAGTAGTAGTCGTAGTCGTAGTAGTAGTGGTAGTAATATTAGTGATAATAATACATGTAGTAGTAGGAGTAGTAGCAGTAGTAGTGGTAGTAGTAGTAATAGTATTAGTAGTAGTATTATTAGTAGTAGTAGTAGTAGTAGTAGTAGTAGTAGTAATACTCATAATACTAGTAGTGCTAGTAGAAACCGTAGTAGTAGTAGTAGTAGTAGTAGTAGTAGTCGTGGCGGTAGTCGGAGTAGTAGTAGTAGTAGTAGTAGTAGTAGTAGTAGTAGTAGAGGTAATAGGAGTAGTAGTAGTAGTAGTAGTAGTAATAGTACTACTACTACTACTACTACTACTAGTAGTAATCGTAGTAGTAGTTATGGTCGTAGTAGTAGTATTGGTATTCGTATTCGTATTATTATTCGTAGTAGTAGTAGTAGTAGTAGCAGCAGTAGTAGTAGTAGTAGTAGTAGTAGTAGTAGTAGTAGTAGTAGTAGTAGTAGTAGTAGTAGTGGTGGTGGTGGTAGTAGTAGTAGTAGTAGTAGTAGTAGTAGGTAGTGATCGTAGTAGTAGTAGTAGTAGTAGTAGTAGTAGTAGTAGTAGTAGTAGTAGTAGTAGTAGTAGTAGTTGTCGTCGTCGTCGTAGTAGTCGTAAGATCATTATTGTGTTTCCTATTCTCGTTTTGATGGTGGTGAGTGCCATGCATGCCGTAGTGTTATTGCTACTGTTCTTGTTCTCCTTCTTCTTCTTCTTCTTCTTCTTCTGGTCCTGGCCTGTACTCCGAGCGGTGTCCGAGGTGGGGGGTCCTAAGGGGCAAGGACACGCGAGAGGCCTCTCCCCTGCCCGGCCCCGCCCGCGCCTCGAGGGCCTGCGACAGCTCCGCCATGCCCTCGTAGGTCCCGAGGCGCACCGACAGGGGGCAGGACCTCGGGGGACGGAGGCTGGCGGCCGGGCCGGCGGGTCCACCAGGGGGCCCAAACAGGTCCAGCACAAGAGCAAGAGCCTCTGAGCTGGTAGGATGCAGCCTCCTCAATTCCGGTGTGATGACGGCGACTGCGATGGTGATGGTGATGGTGATGATAATGGTGATGGTGATGATGATGCTGCTGATGATGATGATGATGATGATGATGATGAGGATGATGATGGTGATTTTTGGTTGGGTGCATGGGTGCGTGCAGCCTGTACACCTCACTCTCCACTCGTGGCGAAATCCGGGATCCTGAGGGGCCCGACCATGCCTCCAGAACTCTCCCGCTCGACGCCGTCCTGGGGAAACCGTACCCTCTCAGGCCCGATCATCCCCTCGCTCCCGTGGACTTCCGAGACGAGATGCCGCCGACGGCTGCTGCGGAACTCCGCCATGACCGAAAACCCACTCCCGATCGATCGGCGGAGGACTCCTGAGAAGCATGCGGTCTGCACTCCCACGTGGCCGACTCCGGAAACCCTGGATCCAACATTCCCCAATCAATGCTTGCACTGAAGAACTCCTAGCGGAGATTAGAAGATTTGGCGAAAACTTCCCGCCGATTTTGGTAGCCTGCTGGGTTCCTGGGTTCCTGGTTCCGGGTTCCTGGGTTCATGGTTATTGGTTCTGGGCCGATTTCTGTGGGTTCCGGGTTCCCGGGTTCCCGGTCGATCTCCTTATCGGTCTCTGTATCGATCCCACGATTCATCCAACCACCCACTGACTGGGGTTTTTCTCTGGTGTAATTTTCTTATTCGGCGTTTCGACATTGAGCGAAGGGGGGGAGGGGGGGTCTGACTCCGGACCTCTGCTTAGAGTTAGGTCAGTCATGTCCCCCTACAGGCGGATGTTTGAAGACATACTCAAAACTAGTCAAGACATGCACCACAAATAATTAAAAATACTCCAAATGTTACCAAGACTATCTTTGGACCATTTTTGAAACTTTCCTCCTGTAGAGGGACATCGGGAGCGGCCAAGAGGGGGGTGTCCAAGAGGGGGGGGTGCAAATCATGACCGGCGGCATGTGCGCGGCCCAGCGGGGGGGCCAGGGACGTAATGAAATATGAAGGGGCGCTCTGAGATCTAGGGAAATATCATGGCCCACGCCATGATATCCACCCCCCCCTAGTCATCACCCCCCTTTTGCCGCCCCCGAGGACAAGCCCGACTTCAGCTTAGAGCGACTGTTTGGAACATGGGAAATCCCACGGGGAGGCGGCGGGCCCCCCCCCCTGCTCACTCGACCTGCTTGAGGCAGACGCCAAGCACAGACGAGATCCAATTCCACGGGGGAGGGGGCGAGGGCCCGCGCCGATCGGCAGAGCCATGGGTAAGAAAGCGATCGGTGATTTATTCGTTGTCTTTGAAGAGGCCCTGGGACACACAAATAAATACACACAAATAATAGGATTCCCCATATTTCCTAACATGTTATCGGTTTTTGCCCTCCCGCCCAATTCCAATATTTTCCTATATTTTCTTGGGAATCGACGATTCATTGTGTCTGTGTGTTTTTTCCCCTCCTGAGTCTTGCCGATGGGCGCGGGCTCTCGCCCCCCTTCCCCTCCTCCCTCCCAGCCTTTCCCTGGAGTAGATCTTGGCTGCTGTGTTGGCGCCTGCCTCAAGCAGGTGGAGTCTCCCCCACAAGACGCACCGCTGCAGGCAGTCGCATTCGGCAGAGGCCCGGAACCAGAACCCCCCCCCCTCCCTCCCCCCTCCCCCTTTTCCTCCCGATGCCGCAACGCCGAAGCAGAAAACGCCGCGCACATCCAGGTGGAGGAGGAGGAGGAGGAGGAGGAGGAGGAGGAGAACAAGGAGAACAAGGAGGAGGAGGAGGAGGAGGAGGAGGAGGAGGAGGAGGAGGAGGAGGGAGGAGGAGGAGGAGGAGGAGGAGGAGGAGGAGGAGGAGGAGGAGGAGGAGGAGGAGGAACGAATGTGCGGAGGCGCGGAGGCGCGCCCCACACATCCCTGACAACGGGTCGCGCCCTCCGTCCGTGGAGAACTCTCGCGGAGCTGTTTGGAAAAAACGACCGCCGTGCGGGTCGGCACTCCCGCGCGTGGCCGGGCTCCCGAGGACCCTGCCTCCTCCTCCTCCTCCTCCTCCTCCTCCTCCTCCTCCTTCCTCCTCCTCCTCCTCCTCCGAGGAGGAGGAGGAGGAGGAGGAAGGAGGAGGAGGAGGAGGAGGAGGAGGAGGAGGATGCTGCTCTTGCCCCCGCCGCCCTCCGTGGGCCCCCGCGGGCGGGTCCACCGCCGCCCTCGGCTTCCGTCGGCCTCCCTCGGCCCTCCGCCGGCCTCCGCCGGAGGCGAGCCTCCGCTCGTCCGGGTGCCCAGCGCGGAGCTCGAGCCTCGAGACGAAGCCAGGACGACGATGAACATCGGGCGAGGGTACATCGAGAATCTCTGAGATCCGGCGGCTCTGGAGGATGTCTCGGGCGCCGCGGCCGTCTCAGAGCGTTGCGGAACGCTCTGAGAGCGTCCCCGAACGCTCTGAAACGGATTTATCCTCGTCCTAGCCCCGTCCGAAGCATGCCCACCTGCTTACACGCGTCGTGGACAACACCCCCTCAAAAACCAGTCCTTCCGATCCGAATGGCCCTCGGCTTGGGTAGACTACGGTCACCCATGGGGGACAGGGGACCGCTCAGGACAGCTCAGGGTCGACGAGAGCCCTTGGACCAGTAGGGTACATACAGCCTTATTCCTCAAGTTGGCGTTGGCCCCAAGACTGGCCCGAAAACAAAGTCGGTCGATCTCAAAGGGGGCTAGCAGTCGTCGCCGGCCTCTTCCCTCGCTCCCCCCTTCATCGTACCCGTCCTCCGCATCCTATCATTTTTGCCTTTCTCGTCCTCACCCCCCCCCATCCTGCCGCAGCCGCCTGGCCGCTGCCGCTCCCGCAGGCGCGCCACGGCACGCTGTCGCTCCTCCTCCGCCCAGGCTCCTCCTCTCCAGCCACCTTCACCCCCGCCGCGTGCAACCCCACACCATGACAAGCCGATCCCACACCACGGGTTCCTGAGCGGCAGTCCGGGCGCCCACGCAGACTAACGTGCGAAGCAGAAGCTGGATCAAAATTTGCCCAGGTCGCCGATGGATCCATGTAACGGCCACGGCGAGAGCCATTGAAGGCGAATTGAGAATACTCTAGAACGATTTTTTCATATGGTGGGGTGTCTGTTGCTTCCACGATCCCCTACTGTGGGGGTGCAAATGCTGGAGTTCGCCCCCCCCCCCCCCCTCCCTAGGACCCGCGAAGAGAAATTCAAGACAGGCTTCAGACTCGACAAGACTTGCCGAACAGATCCACAAATTGCTCCAAGATGCGCCGAAGTATGCCGATTAGCCTGCTGAGACCTTCGAGAGGCACCAGATGTGCTGGTGCGAAGAAGCTGTGCGTGCCGCAGAAGGGAAGCGCGGCCGATCGTAACTTGCAGGAGGCGCAGTGCAGGCGTGAGCACCCCCACGTGAGCTGACAGGACAGAGCGAAGTCTCGCCACGACGTGGGGCATGCCAGCTCCCCCTTGCGCCGTGCAGCTCCTGCTGCTGCCGATGCGCGCAGCACCCTCCCGATCCACGCGCTCCTCCTCATCACCGCTGCTGGGGCTGCTGCTGCGGCTGGTGCTGCCCCTCCCACGCGTCCTCCTCCTCCCCGTTGCTCTGCCCGTCCCCTTGCTCTTCCCGTGGCCCTGGCGAGGGGGGGGGTCGGCTGCGGCAAAGGCAGCGCCGGAAGCGTTGAGCAAGGTCCGAGCGGGGAGGGCTGTGCTCAGGGGGGCTGCAGCACCGCTCAACGATGCTGTTGGCCGAGCCTGCAGGGTGGGCCCTTCCCTGTGTTGAGCATGCACTTCAGTTTTGGATTCGGCTCCAGCCGTGGATAAGCTTCGAGGCGCCTTCGGGCCAGCTCGCCCAAATCGCCTTTTCTGCTGGCACAGATGCCCCCCCCCCCCCTCCCTCCCCTCCTCTTCCAGCTGATCTGTCCTCACCCTCCCTGCTTCCGTCTTCTCCGTCCCTCTCCGTCAGAGGGGATACGCCGTGGAGCCGCGGCACCAAGGCACCACACCGGAAGGCGCCGAGGCATCTCGGTGCCAGGGCGTCGCAGCACCGCGGGTCTGCCAAGCGCCCCGCCTGGACGCTGGGGCAAGGAGCACGGGTGGAGGGAACCCCAGGTCGGGCATGGGGCCCCCTGCAGGCGGATTCTTGACGAAACCTGAAACAAGGTCAGGAATGCGAAACAGCCCGCCACTGGTGATGTATATAACAAGGGATATGTCGACCCCTATCCCAGGCTTCGTGGGGTTTCCGAATGGACCAGAAATTTGGGGCCCAACCCTGGGATATACGATGGGGGGGTGCCCACCCTCGATAGGGGTGCGTCCGAATAGCCCCCTTGGGGTGTATCCCAGGGTTTTTCAATTTTTCTGAACGGCCAAACTTTTTGGGCGAAACTCGGGGATTCGGGGAGAAACATCGCCTGCGAGTATATGTTCCAGTTTCGGGCTTCCTCCGGCACGGGGGCCCGCCCGCCTCACGAGGAGCCCGGAGGGGGCCCTCCGAGGCTCCCGCCAGCGAGCCTCCCGAGGGCATGCCCTGGGGGCCTGGGCCCCGCGGGAGGCGCCGTCCGCCCCTCGGGCCTCCAGCCAGCCAGCCTCCCTCCCTTCCTCGGAGGAGGAGGGAGGAGGAGGAGGGAGGAGGAAGAGGAGGGGGAGGGGGAGGGGGGAGGGGGAGGGGGAGGGGGGAGGGGGAGGGGAGGAGGAGGAGGAGGAGGAGGGAGGAGGAGGAGGAGGAGGAGGAGGAGGAGGAGGAGGAGGAGGAGGAGGAGGAGGAGGAGGAGGAGGAGGAGGAGGAGGAGGAGGAGGAGGAGGTAGTGAACTTGTTTTACTCGGCGTTTCGACATCGGGCGGAAGGGGGGGGTTCTGGCTCCTGACCTCTGCTGAGTGCGACTGCCTGCAGGAGGGCGTTCATCATGGGGGAGGCTCCACCCGCTCGAAACAGGCGTCTAAAACAGGCAAGATCCACTCCATGAGAGGGGGAGGGGGGTTGGGGGGGCCCGCGCCGATCGGCAAAACAATGAGCAACAAAAACGATCACCTAGAAGAAGAAAAACAGCATAAACATAAACTTTCGACGCTCCGCGCGGACTTCTTGGATCCGCGCTGGACCCCCCTCCCTGGCGCACGGAGCGCGCCAGGGGTGGCGCCAGAGGCGCCGCCAGAGGAGCCCAGCGCGGATCCAAGAGGTCCGCGCGGAGCGCCAAAAGCTGATGTTTATGCAGTTGTTTCTTATTCGATCCCTCCCTCCCTCCCTCCCTCCCTTCCTCTCGTCGTCCTCCTCCTCCAACCGTGCGCAGCGAGCGCCAGCCGCTGTGGGCGCGGCTTGCCGCTCTGCGAGAGGGTCACCTCCATGGCCGCGAGCGCTCCCTGGTGGCGGGCCGGGGGGGGGGTCCTACGCCGAGCAGCGTGGCACAGTCTGCGGCACCCTCTGCACAAGGCATGGCGCGGGAGGCCAAAGAGGGAGAGGAGGGAAGGGCGCCCGCTGCAGAGAGCAGGAGCACGGGAAGGAGGAATGGCACCCCCTGCACAAGACAGGAAGCAGGCGGAGGAGGATGGGACGGCGTCCGCCGCCACCATGCACGGAACCAGACCTGCAGCCAGTCCCCCGTGAACGTGCAGAGCCAGTGCGCAAGCAGTGGACTCCCCGCGGGCGTGACTGGCAGCTCATGGACGCTAGAAGCACCCTGCAGGAGGGAGAAGACCACAAAGGCCGCGAGCGAAAGAGAGCGCTGCGGGGGAGAAGGGCCCACGCGTGTCGCAGCCTGAAGTAGGGGAACAAAAAGTGGCACAAACATGAAAAACTCTGAGGTCCGCGCATGACATAAACATAAACATGAAAAACTCTGGGACCCCCCCTCCCTGGCGCGCGGAGCGCGCCAGGGGCGGCGCCGGAGGCGCCGCCAGGGGGCCCCAGCGCCGATCCGAGAAATCCGCGCGGACCTCCGAGGTTTTATGTTTATGCCACTTTTTGTTCCCCTATGAAGGGGCCACAGGCAGCGAAGGAGGCACAGCACCCGACCCCTCCTGCTGGCAGCCGCAAGCCCGGGCAGCGCCGCGCCGTCTCGATGGGCGCGTGGTGACCTTCAGGTCCTGCCTCGGGCCTCCTGCGACTCCTCCTCCTCCTCCTCCTCCTCCTCCTCCTCCTCCTCCTCCTCCTCCTCCTCCTCCTCCTCCTCGATGGGCGCGTGGTGACTTTCGGGTCGTGCCTCGGGCCTCCTGTGGCCGCCCCGGGCGACGAGGGGCAGCCCCGACGGGGCGCAGCTGCTGGACCGCACCCCGAGGCATTGGAAGCCTGCAGGAGCCAACGAGAACACCCGAGAGCTCCCAGTAGGGGGCCACATGCGAACCCTACCCCTACCCCCCACAATTTTTGAGGGGGAGGGGGAGGTTCACTTCGCTCGAGAGCTCCCGAGCGAAGTGAACCCCACCCTCCCCCTCAGAAATCGTGGGGGGTAGGGGTAGGGTTCGCACGTGGCCCCCTGCCCAGGACCACCCTCGCCCAACCAGGAGACGAGCCCGGCCACAAGGCCCGGCCAGGTGAAGCTGCGGGCACCGCGAGGCAAGCGAGAAGAAGCAGGGGGGAGGAGTGAGGGGTGTGCCGACAAGGGGCAGCTGCGCCATGCGGACCCTGCCGCTGGGGTCTTCGGTGGCGCTCCCTGTGGGGCCACGGCGCGTGTTAGAAGTGAGCCGAATCGGACGCGGGTACGCCATGCGGACCCTGGCGATGGGGCCTTCGGTGGAGCTCCCTTCGGGGCCACGAAGCGTGTGAGGGGTGTGCTGTATCGGGTGCGGGCACGCCATGCGGGCCCTGCCGCTGGGGTCTCCTGTGGAGCTCCCTTCGGGGCCACGTAGCGTGTGAGTCGCGCTCCGAAATGGACATGTGGGCAGAGGCAGGGATGGGGGAGTGGGGAGGAGGAGGAGGAGGAGGAGGAGGAGGAGGAGGAGGAGGAGGAGGAAGAAGAAGAAGGCAGGAAGGAAAGAAGGAGGAGGGAACGCGGGGCGCTGTCTGTCCAAAACGAGGACCCCCAACCACGAAACATGCGCAAGACCGAATCATGAATTGCCCCCCGTCTCGCCGACACCGACAAACGCGCCCGCCTGGCTGTCCACCGGGAACGATACCGCGACGCGTGGGGCCACGAAGCGTGCGAGGGGTGTGGCGAATCTGGTGCGGGTGCAACACGCGGACTCCTGCCGCTGGGGCCTTCGGTGGAGCTCCCTTCGCGGCCACGAAGCCGGCTGTGGGTACGCCACGCGGGCCCTGCCGCTGGGGCTTTCCATGGGGCCAGCGTAGCGCGCGAGGGGTGTGCTGTATCGGGCGCGGGTGCGCCATGCAGACCCTGCCGCTGGGCCTCCGGTGGAGCTCCCTGTGAGGCCACGAAGCGTGTGAGAGGTGTGCGCGATCGGATGCGCGCACGCCATGCGGACCCTGCCGCTGGGGCCTTCGGTGGGGTGTGGGGCCACGAAGCGTGTGAGGGGTGTGCCGAGTCGGATGTGGGCACGCCATGCGGACCCTGCCCTCGGGGCCTTTGGTGGAGCTACCTATGGGGCCACGAAGCGTGTGAGAGGTGTGCCGAATCGGACGAAGGTGCGCGATGCGGACCCTGCTGCTGGGGCCTTCGGTGGAGACTCCCAACTGTGAGGCCCCGAAGAGTGGTAAGGGGTGTGCCGAATCGGTTGCGGATGCGCCATGATGGCCCTGCCGCTGGCCCCTTCGGGGCCACGTCGCGTGTGAGCCGTTCTCCGACATGGACATGCGGGGGGGCAGAGGCTCGGATGGGGGAGGAAGGAGGAGGAGGAGGGAACGAGGGGCGCTGTCTCTCCAAAGCGAAGACCCAACACCACAGTACGGCTGGGGATCACGGGAAAACGCAATACCAAATCATGAACTGCACCCCCCCCCTCTCGCCGACACCGACACAAGCGCCCGCCTGGCTGTCCACCGGGAACGACACCGCGACGTCGAAGGGCGCGGCGGTGTCGACGCAGTTGGCCCCCGGGCCGTACTCCGCGGAGCCCCAGTCCCGCGGCCCGTTCCAGCTGTCGCCCCCTGCCGGGAGGGGAGGAGGAGGAGGAGGAGGAGGAGGAGGAGGAGGAGGAGGAGGAGGAGGAGGAGGAGGAGGAGGAGGAGGAGGAGGAGGATGAGGACCGAGAAGAAGACGATTTGGGCAGCGCTGGGACGTGACAGTTACCCAGACGGTGGACAGTGTATGCATTGCGGTCTACCCGCCTCGATATCCACCCTTCGGGGGGGGCAGTCGCCCTACGCAGCTGCGCAGGAAAAAAGCGCGAGCCGCGTGCCTCAACGACATCGTCGGGACCGAGATCGGAACTGGCAGTAGAGGAAGCTGCCCCGATACGCTCGCAAAGAAGTGTGCCGATTAGCCTGGAATATGGAAGCACTTCACATCCGAAGAAGAGAACCAAGGCCCGAACACCAAGATGTTTAAAACGCGCTTGCGTCTAGAACGAACGACAAAACGATTTAACCGATTGTTTCAACGAAAAAGGTGCAACACCAAAACGGAAAACGAAACGGTGACGCTAATCGGCGAAAAACAAAACGAACCACGACACGAATTTCGCAGACCACATTGGAAACGGACCCCAAAGCAGAACGAAGTTATGGAGCGATGGTTAAGGCAAGGGCAGCATTGGCTACGATTTGGGGCCAGGGCGAACGCGATGGGCGAGGTTCGGGCTACAGGGCCAGGGCTAGGACGACAGGCGAAGTCTCGCTTAAGGCTTGTACGAAAATAAACAAAACGAACAACAAACCAGGGCTGCGGCGAGAGCTACAGAGCCAATGCTAATTAGGGCAAGGGGCGAGATCCCGTTTGAGGCTTGCGCGAAAACAGACAAACAACAACGAAACGAACAACGACACAGGGCTGCGGCGAGGGCTCGAGGGCCAGGGCGAAAACGAGGGGCGAGGTCCCGTTTGAAGCTCGTGCGAAAACAAATGGCAAACGAAACGAACAACGAACCAGGGCTGCGGCGAGGGCTACAGGGCCAGGGCTAAGGCTTGTGCGACAACAAACGAAGAACGAACTCGGGCTGCGGCGACGGCTTCCAGCGAGCGTCGAGGTTTTGGGTTGGGCTTGACCACAACAAGACGAACAACGAACTCGGCCCGCGGCTAGGGCTGAGGGCTGAACTAAGGCGGGAGGCGAGATTATGTGAGCCTGTGCCAAACAAAACAAACAACGAAACGAAAAACAGCACAACTCCCCGGACGCCTTGGCCGGAGCCGAAGCAGTTGCAGGGGCCCAGGCTGAAGCAACGGCCAGGACTGCAAGGCCGAGGCTGCGGACAGAGTTGCAGGGCCGATGCAGGGGCAAGGGCAAGGGCTCAAGGGCTGCGGGGAAGGTTGACTCGCGAGGCCGAGGTGCCTAACGCCCCAGAGTCTACGGCCCACGAGTCCTTGGCAGTGCAGTCGAGGGGCCCTGGATTCCTGGACCCAGGCGTCCTGGTGCCTGGAGAGGCACATGGCAGGGAATCTGGGCACTCGAGTCTGAAGTCCAAGAGCCTCAAGCCGTGGAGCCCCTGGACCAAGGGCCCTGGAGTCTCTCTTTTTTATATAAAAAATTGCGGGGCGAGAGCGAACCTCTTCTGCTGAAAGCTAAGCGGGCTACGCACAGCATTAATTAGGGAGACGGGGCACCATGGGCTCTGGAGCCTCGGGCGCATGATTCCCCGCCGCGCGCCCGGCCTCCGCCGCGCGCGCCCCGCCGCGCGCCCTGCTTCCGCCGCGGCGCCCAACAAGCGCGCGGCGGTGGCCGCCGCGCTCGGCGGCCGCCGCGCTCGCCGAGCGCGCGGCCGCCGAGCGCGTGGCCGCCGAGCGCGCACCGCCGCGCGCGCGGCCGGCGCCCGAGGAAACGAGCGGGCGCCGCCGCAGGCGTGCCGATGCTCGCGCGCGCGCCCTGCGCCGCCAACCCCTGGCGCTTTTTCCCTCAGCTACGTCATCCCGCGGGATGTCTTGGGCCATGCAGGGTAGAGGGGGGGAGGAACAGTGGGCGCTGCAGGGGCCACTGTGCCATCCGCCACCTTTCCTGGGCGTCAACATGAAGTGATACAATTTCCCACCAAATGAATGTCACTTGCACTCTGGGCCTCAACATGAGGTCGTGCACTCCCCGCGAAACAGCTGGTCACCGTTAAGGGTTCGCGTTAGTTCCCACGCTAACACAGCGACTTTTCCATTGTGCACAGTGCAGCGCCACGCGCGAGCGAGCGCGCGCGCGCGCGATCGGGTATTCAGCGCGCGGGCGGGTCACCCGAAATCGGGCTGGACACCATTAATGCTTTAGTTCCCAGGCCAACATGGCGACTCTTCTATTTTCGAGATTACAGAATTCCCCAACGCGCGCGTCCGTGCGCGCGCCATCGGGTGACCCGCGCGCGGGCGGCTCACTCGAAATCCGGTCTGCCACCGTTAAGGCTTCACTTTAGTTCCCAGGCCAACATGGCGACTTTTCCATTGTGGACACTGCAGGATTCCCCGCGCGCGCGCGTCCGCGCGTGCACGCGCGCGATCGGGCGGCCCACGCGCGCACGGGCCTCCCGAAATGCGGTTCGTCACCGTTTTTCGCCCAGGTGCCAAGCCAACATGGCGAGTCCGCGCGGACGATCGGGCGACCCACGCGCGGACGGGTTGCCCGAAATCTTACTGGCGACTGGCTACCGTTAAGGCTTCACTTCAGTTTCCAGGCCAGCATGGCGACTCGTCTATTACCGACAATACAGGATTCCCCACTCGCGGGTCCGCGCGCACGCGCGATTGTGTACCTCACGCGCGGGCGGGCCACCCGAAACCAGGTTGATCACGGTTAAGGCTTCACTTAGTTTCCAGGCCAACATGGCGACTTTTCCATTGTGGACACTACAGAAATCCCCAAGCGCACGTCCGTGCGCGCGCGATTGGGTGAGGGAAGTGGCGGCGACGACGACAACGGACGACCAACGATCGACGAGCGGGATAACTACGACGACGGACGAACGGGGTAACGACGACGATTGACGACAAGGATGACGACGATGATGACGACGACGAAAAAGAAAACGCACACGAACACGACGACGACGACGCCGAAGACGACGACGACGACGACTCGCTTCCGAGCAATACCTCGTCATACCATACACCTCTTGCCTGGCAGCACGCGAGTGAACGCCTCTTGGGTTATCTGTGTTCTTGGAGGCTTCTGGGGAGCCTTCGGGGCCTTTCTGGGGCTTCTTGGGATTTTCTTGGGGGCCTTTTGGAACTTGGAGATCTCTTGGGGGCCGAGGGGGGGGAGACATCTTGGGGTTGTGTTGGGGTAGGCCACTGGGGGGCCTCTCGGGGTCGTCTTGGGAGCTCCCTGGGCTATCTTGGGGCCGTCTTGGGCCGTCCTGGCTCCTCCTCGGGGCCTCTCGGGATGTCTTGCGACGATCTTGGGGGCATCTTGGACCGCCGTCGGTGCTTTGAGACCGACAAGCGAAAATCTCAAAGTGTACCAAAAACCGACAGGATTTTGACGACTTTATCGTACCCCCCCTTCCCCCCCTCTTCCGGAACGGGAGAACTGGAGCATCCCCCCACCGGGAACAGGAGAACCGGCGCAACCGCCCCCCAAACCTCCCTTCCCCGGCAGAGCCACCCCGGCACCGCCCCTAGCTGAGCTGAAACCCACCCCTCCCCTCGATTCTGGAACCCGAGAACTGGCGCCCCTCCCCCATCCCCTCCCCCCCCGGGAATCGGAGAACTGGCGACCCCCCCCCCGCATCCCCAATCCCGTTCCCCCGGCAGAACCACGCAGGCACCCTCCAGCTGAGCTGAAGCTCTGGGTTTAGGTCGAAGCCTGAGCTTTAGTCTGAGCTGCTTGAAACTCACACGCCAGATCGGCGGATTTTCTGCACCAGGCCAACATGGCGACTGTCCTATGTCCGACAATACAGACTTCCCCACGCGCGCGCCCGCGCGCGCGGTTGGGCAGCCCACGCGCGAGCGGGTCACCCGAAATCCGGCTCGTCATCGAAAAGAGTCCACTTTAGTAACCAGGCCAGCATGGAAATTTTAGTATTTTCGCCAATCCAGAACTCCCCGGCGCGCGCTTCCACGCGCGCGCGATCAGACGCCCGCGCAACATGAGGCGACGCAATCCCCTTCAAAACGTTCCCCGTCCGGCGTGCGCACAACAGGTGACTCACGGACGGAGGGGTCGCCGGTTGAGAAAAACCAGCTGCTCCATTAGCACTCTGGGCCTGATCATGAGGCGACGTATTCCCACTCAGTACGTTTCCCGCACGGCGCGCGCACAACGGGTGACCAACGAACGTGTGGGTCACCAGAAAACTGGTTGAACAAACCAACTGTTTCACCTGCATTCTGGGCTTCCACATGAATCGATGCACTGCCGCGCAGTATGTTTCCCATGCGGACAGGTGGGTCAGGAGAAAGCTGCTTGAGAAAAACCGATGGGTTCACTTGCTTTCTGGACTTCAACATGAAGAGATGCATTCTTGGTCGTGGTCGTCGTCTTCGTCGCGTTTGGGCCCTGAACTCCCGGGTTTTGGAGTCTAGGGCCCAGGAGTCTGGGTCCTTGGAATCTAGGGCCCAGGAGTCTGGGGCTCTGGAATCTAGGGCCCAGGAGTCTGGGGTCCAGGAATCCAGGGTACAGGAGCCTAGGGCCCTGGAGCCTAGTGCCCAGGAGTCCACGGCCCAGGAGTCCAGGGTCCAGGTGTGTAGGGCCTGGGAGCCTACGGCCTAATAGTCTGCTGCCCTGGGGTTCAACCCCCTGGAGTCCACGGCACTGGAACCTAGGGCGCAGGAGTAGAGGGTCCTGGAGTCCAGGTCGGGCGCAGGAGCCTAGGACCCAGGAGTCCAGGGCCCAGACGCTGAAAGCCCTGGAGCCTAGGGCCCAACAGTCTTGGGCCTTGTAGCCTGTAGGGCCTTAGAATCTAGAGCTCAGGAGTCTATATGGCCAAGGAGTCTATAGGGCCCCCTGGGGTCCAGGGCCGAGGACTCTGGGGCCCTGGACCCCAGGGCCTTTGAATCTAGGGCGGTGGAGA